TAATTAAGGGGAAGTTTAGAGCGTTTGTCTAGTAAGTGTTGGAGTAGTCGAAAACGTCGAGCGGTTTCTTGTCGTTTCAGTCTGGTATGAGGATTCCAAGTTAGACGTCTGTCCAAATGAAGTCCAAGGTATCGAATTTGTTCAACAGTGGGGTATTATTAAAGGATACTGTGGGACATGAGGTAATAGGTTTACGTCGAAGGGTAAAGGTGATTTGATGGGATTTATTAGAATTTATTTTAATCCTCCAGTTTTGATACCATTCTTCAAGGCTTGTGATGTGTGATTGAAGAGTTTGGGATGCAATGGTTGGGTCATTATTAACGGATAGGACACATGTATCATCGGCATACGTGGTAATAACAGTGTTAGGATGGGTTGAAGACCAACTTCCTTTGAATAATCCTTAATGGTTCAAGTTATTTCGTTTTGGAATTCACCATCTCTATTCATAAAGCTTCCTCTCCAATCTCATTCAAACACCTTCTTAACTATCAGTCTTACGCTTACATAATATATAATATGTATATTTTGCATTGATGTGTACATTCCTTCATTACATGTAAGCGGAAGACTGATAGTTTTTAATAGATGTTTGCATGAAATCGGTGAAGAATATATATATATATATGTGTGATTGTGTGTCAAATATTGTATATATATATATATATATGCCAACTAATGATTTCTTTATTTTACTTTACCTATTATTGTTATTTTTTTCATCATAATTATTGTTTATGTAGTTTTCGGCCATATATGTGTTTTATTTATTTTTACATAATTATTATTGTCCCAAAATAAAGTTTATTTTATATCTGTCCATTTATTAAGGATTATCTATTTATAACGAAGTAACAAATCCCGACCAATAGCCTTACGACATTACGACATAACCTACTGCACCTAATATATTATTGGTTTTATGTAATGGTTGGATAGTTGTAATAGGTAAAGCAGAAAATATGGATTAACACCAAGGCTATCGAGTACTGCTAACCTTGCGTGCCTCGAATGCTTCCACACGTTGCTAACATTTTATCTGCAAAACTTGACTATGTCAATAATCGATTAGTCGACTCCTAATTGATGAAATTCTTCTTATATTTAAAAAAAAAATAACACTTAATCAGCATACAATAAAAAAGAGAATGGTATATCATTTTCAAACAGTTATATGTCAAATTTATCAGGTATGTTGCATTCAAAATATATCCTCGCTAATTAGGTCCAACCATTCGAGATATAATCAGGTTGCGCGCACAAACACAGGCACTCACATAATTTGTGTAAGCGAGTGGATAATTCAATAAAAAGATAGCTATTTAATCAAGAATGCAAAAGATTCATGGAGCTTCGTTACAACTTTCATGTAAACAATCTCAGAATTATTAATTATTCACATTTTTAACGCTTTTAAATTCTTCTAAAAGAGATATCTACACTATATATAATAAGGCAATTTCAACCCCTCGCTTTTAGAAGCGATGTATTTTGAAATATGTTGTATCAAACAGTATATAATTTCATGGATGCGTAGTATATAATTTAATCGTTATGATTCCCAATTAAAACGTTATACCTTACAAGAACTATTTTCAGATAAAACTATAGCTATTCTCATCGGGTCTTGACATCTCATTAGTCCCCTTCCTTACTTTCCTCTATTTTACCTCAATAACTGTCCCATCCATTGTTTTCCTACACTCAAAAACCTAGGAGTAACCTTTTACCAGAATCCCTCTTGAAATAACATATCTCATAGATTACCCGAAAATCCATAACTGTCCTAAAGCAACTCCTAAGATTCTGTGATTGTATTCCTCTAAAAACCAGACAGCTCCTTGTAACCTCCCTTATATTCGCCCACTTCAACTACGGAGAGCTATCTGTCAGGCTAAAAATGAGACTGAAGAGACTCATGAACTGCTTCATAAGATACATCTTTGGGATCCCCAGACGTTCTTGTGTTTCCTCCTGCTACAGCGAGCTGAAGTCGCTTTATCCTATTCCCGACGACAATTCCTTCTTGGAGTTTTCCTTTTGCAAGTCCTCAGAAACATAAAACCTTCCTACATCCTGGAACTCCTTACTCTATGTTCATCTATCATCTGTCTCTATACTAGGTCCCAAGCTATAGATTTGTATATCGCCTCCCATAAAACTGCTTTCTTCAGAAAACCCTTCAGCATTCGTGCTACCTTCTTTTGGAACTATCTACCTCCATACGTCAATCCTACGCAATCAATTCCTTCAAACAATTCCTGTTCCACCACCTACTCCATATTAAAACTTCCAAAAATATAACTTAATCAGTATACAATAAAAAAGAGAATGGTATATCATTTTCAAACAGTTATATGTCAAACTTATCAGGTATGTTGCATTCAAAATATATCCTCGCTAATTAGGTCCAACCAGTCGAAATATAATCAGGTTGCGCGCACAAACACACGCACTCACATAATTTGTGTAAGCGAGTAGATAATTCAATAAAAAGATAGCTTTTTAATCAAGAATGGAAAAGATTCATGGTGGACCACATTATTACGGTAACCGTTTTATTAATACTCAGAAATACACCAATGGTTGGAAATGAGTTATTTTAGAGTCGGAGGGGGGGAGAGGGCTGAAATATTTACCAGGTTAAAATATTTTCCTTTTAATAGTAGTAGGAGTAAGAAAGTTAAAACTGGATTTGACAGAAACCGTCTTCAGTTTACTATACTACCGAATTTATGGAGGGGTGGCTTTTGGGATAATGTTTTCTCATTCCAAATAGAAAAAATATACATATTTCTTGTTTAAATTTTACCCACAGGATGGTTGCAGGAACTGGATGTTTCTACGGCCTACAAAAGGTGCTCCGATACAAAAGCCTATCCAGGAATGCATAGTTTGTAATATATAAAATGGATGTTAGACCTGTAGTTTTGGACTATGATCAAGGAAATCAGGAGAGCCCGGAGCTCTCTCATCTGACTGTATATATTTTAAATAAGTATGAATGTGTTTTTATATCTTTATCAAATGTTGTCTCAAATTTCATTTCTCTTGTTTTATTAACTTTTCTTTTGCTAATATTTGTCTATTGTATATATAGTATGAATGAGACGGCTTTAACAATCAATTGAGACAAAATGTTTCATGTCTGAATAAATAAAATTTAAAAGAAAACGAATTAATCTCATTATACTTCCGAAAATGATGCTGAATAGTACATCAGGAGGAAAAAGACTAAGTGGCAGCCTCAGACACAGATTCTGGATAATATAGAAGAAGACTTGATGAGGCTGGGTATCAGAATTTGGAAGAATCTTGCTGTGGATCGCGAGGAGTCGAGAAAAATTGTGACAGTTCCAACTATAGTGCCCATTTAAGGAGAATTATACGAAAATTTTAAAGTGTTATAATTTCTTCTTTTCATAAGTATTGTCATGAAACAGAGGTGATCAGAGTGCTAACACTTGAAAGGAAAGGTCCAAAAAAGAATTGCTTACAGAAACTGGTCAATTAATATGTCATCATGTGAAGGCAAGGAGGTTAAGATGGGCTGGCCATGCAGTTCGGAGCAATCTATATGGAGGATTCTAAGCAACAATCAATGCCTAAATAGTAGTCAAAAGACCAAAAATAAAAACTGAATGGATAGATCGAATCATCAATAATGGAATAAAGCTGTATGCAGATAACTAAAGAAAATGGCTCAAGATGGAGAAGGTTGGTGTGACGTCAAGAAATCACTTCAGGAAACAAATGAGGCTATAGTTGATAAACGTTCTATCACAATACACAAAACACCGTTATTCCTCTACATTAACATCACTCTATCAGGAACAAAGGACTACTGCTCTCTCTGGGTAACCTCACCCAAGCCAATCTGACTTTGTTTACAACAGCTACAGTGCTGCCAGATAGCATGCATTAACTCTACAGGCGGTTAAGGTGGCAAAAGATCTACAAGGTCTGTAATGCCAACAGAAAAAATTATATGAAAAGAGCTCAATTCATTTGTTAATATATTCTCAAAAGTTATCCATTTGAAGAAAAAAAAATTAGTAATCTGATACTATAGAATATAGTAGTGGACTACAAACATTGCATTTTGTATCATCAGGATACAAACTAAGGTGTGTTCTTTAGATTACACGATAGAGGTGAAAACATCAGTAAAATGAGATTAATAATTATAAATTAAATTATAAATAATAGCGCATTACAGAGAGGGTGAAATTCTGAACAATTTCCTCGCTTACGGTATGCGGATCCGACTTTTAGTTTCTGAGATCTTTTAATTCATATCTTGAATAAAACTCGTTATTATTTAGTTTTCGACACTATTTTCTCCCTTTGCCTGTCTAACACGGCGTCGCGTTTACATACAATTTTGAATAATAACTCATTACAAAGAGGATGATATGATGAACATTTCCCTCACTAACAATAGGCAGGTTCAATTATTAGTTTTGGAGATATTTTAATCCATATGCAAAAACACCTCAAGTAGTCGACTCCAGCCGACTTTACCCGAACGTTACACATCGGAAATCTGACGCTTCAATATAATTTACTCTCCCCAAAAAAAATTTTTTTTCAAAGGCGCCTAAAGAAGTTTTCACTTCAAAAAAAAAAAAACTGTACAATGTATAATATTTTGATATAGATTTATTTTTAAATACATACTATTATATTCATTGTTCGTTTTATGTTGATTTTCATAGGTTAATATAAACTTCTGGTACCTATTTTTATGGTCCATATTGTGCTACTCCAATCAAAATAATTATCCTGCGCCTATGAAATTGTTAAGGATTAGTATAAGACTGATTAAAGGACTGAGTAAGATAGGACTGGACATAGGATTATGTAATGTTGATGGTATTCTGGGTCGGCCGTGAGCTTCTGGTCTTTCTAAGGAATTTGTCTCCAGGAGGTAGTCTTTGCAAGGCCATTGGGGTCTGATACAATTATAAATCATTAACATATGTTTATAATCATACCTCATGAATAATTTTCAAGGAAAGGTTATCTACCAGTGTCTAATTGTCGGCAGCGTTGTCAGTCCTGGAAGGGGAAATATGCCTCGTGTAGACTCTATCACGTGATTTAACTACGCTGTCACCTGTGTCACTCGCGAGTAGAAACCGTATATGTTATCTCTGAAGGGGGAGTTATATGCAGCACATAACCTAAAATAAGAATAAATTGAAAAAACCTGAGTATTATTACAAAATGACTTAACTTTTTCAATGGTTTATATATCAAATATGTTACATTACCTTTCTTAATCCATCAGAGAAAAATTTACCATCTGTCTTTATATACAATACGATAGTGTTTCACAGTGTAGAATCATTTTTTCGGGTGTATTTTGAGGAATGATATTCATGAATTGTGTTTTGAAGGTTCCGGTACGACTATATCAAAACCGGATATAGTTAAAAAATGTTCCGTTTTCGAGATAAACCCATTTGATGCCTATGGTTGCCAAGGTTACTTATCAACATGTTAAGGTTTTAAAAAACATGTTAGGTTTGGGGAGTGGGGTAGCTCAGAGATAGGGCACTGAGCTTCCAATGCAAAGGTCTCAGGTTCGAACCCAGGCTCATAGCAAAACATTTATTTACATGTTTCATTGGCAGTGGGGCGACCCTGGGTAGGGAGACCCTCCGGGGCACACCCAGCCTCTATCAAGTGGGTACCTTTAATTAAATAATTAATTAAGGAGGAAAACCTGGCGGTTGAGTGCAGTCTCGGTCAAATCACCTCCTTGCACAACCGTTGACCTAGGAACAGTGCTTTATCTAAATAGTACTGAGCCCCAAACCCTTTATGGGTTGTAGTAGTACAGGTTAAAAAAAAAAAGTTTTTAGAAAATAAAATATTGCTATATAGGATGGTTTTCAACGAACTAAAAACCTCTACAAAAGATGTTTTAGAAAATAACTAAATTTAGAAAAATAAATAAAAATAAAAAAGGCAACATTATTAAGTTTAACATGAGGCAACATATGAAATATTTTTTCAGAGGACAGTATCAAAGAAGGAATATGCATTGCAAAAACTAAGTCACTCACACCCTTTCTGCTGGGCATAAGGAATTCTTTACTTTGTGATAATGTAGTAATTATTTAACAGTGATAGGCCCCTTTATCCAGTCCCAACTTCGTCTCTTCAGGAGGAGTGACTTTTCTAGAGTGCAATGAAGTCTAGTTCTCAAGTCCCAAACTGTTTTACTTGTTTTCGCAACCTACCGGTAGGTAGCGTCCGGGTGCAAGTATGTATTCACAAAACAACAGGTAAATAGAGAAGAATAGTTCTATGATCTCTTAGGCACTTCGATTGTATGAAGAACCTTTTGTTATTTTTAAATATTCTATTCAAAAAACTTTTTGAGTACTTGAGCACCGTCAGTGCTCGAAACACTCCAGGATGCTGACCCACACGCTTGGGTTGAAACATCGGTACCATTAAAATCCTTAAAAATTACTGCTTCATGACTACTGATCGTTTATAATATTTAGAACAGTCGACTAACTTCTTTCAATAATTTGATATTTTTAATAAATCAAAAAAATTATAGTCCCTATAATCTAATTAATAGACTTCTATACTCTTAGTAAGTGACACAATTCCAAACAAAGGCTCTTCTATACCAAACAAATATGTCTTGAGCGAGTACAATAATGGTTTAGCATAAGTTCAGAGATAGCCTTGTATTATCGCATAACTCTTAAACTGGAGTGACATTTTCCAGTGAGAAAAGTCAATAACTTATTAGGAAAATTGTTACTTTAACAGCCGAGGTAAGTTTCGCCAATTATATTCGTTAAATCTTGATAATATTATATTCTATATAATAATAAATATCTTTCACTGATATCACTTAGTATACGTCGAATGCATTAGGAAAAAGTATACCCTTTTAATGTGAGAGTTTTCACAGTTTATAAAAAGTGTTTGCTAATCTTGGCTTGCTCAAAAATATTTTGTTAAGAAATATGGACTCGATTGCTTCAGTTAATGTAAAGTTTTCTAGTAATCAGAAACCAAAACATGCGAGATCGGATTTGCAGTAAGTTCAGAATACGATATCGCTGCCCCTAATAATCTAATTTTAATGACTTGGACCCTTCAGTATGGTTAATTATGTTATTATTCAATAACTAATTTTTAATTCAGGCCATATTTCTAAAATATAAGTTTATACTATTGGGCGAAAAAAATAAAATAAAATAACAAAATGTATATGATCAAACTGAAAATTGTCCTTGTAAATAATTAATGACACAAACTGAGAGTAGATAAGAACTGTTACTATTAATTGTAATTCCAGGTACACTCAGGTTAGTAGGTAACTTTAGTCGGTAGCTGAACTGTAACGCATGCGCATATTATAGTTTTGTGGTATATTTATTAGTACAAATATTTATTAATGATACCACGCCGTTTAAAAATGATCAATTCAAAACCTTCGTGTTGTAAAGTAATCGCAAACCTCTCGCTGTTGGCGGAAAATAATTGTATAGGATGTATAAACCTGTACCACTACAACCCATGAAGGGTCTTGGGTTCAGTACTATTTAGAAAGTACCGGTTCTATGTCAACAGTTGTGCAAGGAGGTGATTTGACCGAGATCATGGTCAGCCGCCAGGTTTCCCCACTTAATTAATTATTTAATTAAGGGTGCCCACTTTATAGAGGCTGGGTGTGCCCAGGAGGATCTGCCGACCCAGAATCGCCCCCCGACCAATGAAACAAATATATAAATTTTCTGCCATGAACGGGGATTCGAACCTGGGACCTTTAGCATTGGAAGATTAGTACCCTATAACTCAGCTACCGCACTCTCATAGGATGTATAAAGAATATGTAATTCAGTAGATAGCTGAAATGGAACGCATGCGCATTTAATAGCTTTGTGTTATATAGTCTGGATATTTAATAATTATACCCGAAGAGTTGAAGCCTTTTAATCAAAACTTTCGTGGTGTATAGTTGTCTGAAACCTCTCGCTGTTTGCTGGAAAGGATTTATAGGGCTTATAAAGTATGTGTAATTCAGTAAGTAACTGAACTGTGACGCGGTAACATAGATTTTTGGTATTTAGTCCAAATATTTTTAATGACTCCACGCCGTTTAAAAACGAGCAATTCAAAACATTCTTGTTGTGAAGCTCTCGGAAACCTCTCGCTGTTCAGTAGGTATCTGAAATGGAACGCATGCGCATTTGATTACTTTGTGATGTATAGTCTGGATATTTATTAACTTCATTAACTAAACCCACGAAGTTGAAGCCTTTCAGTCAAAACTTTCGTGATGTATAGTCATCGAGGAGCTCTCTGTGTTGGCGGAAAAGGACTGTAATTATTCGAAAGAAGTTCACGATTAGTTGTAGATTTATTTTGAGATCTTGAACCCTGGAGGAGCACAAAGGTCGCCATTGGCTGGCGGTCAAGGTTGGCAAAAGATCTGGCATTTAAAGCGGACTCCATTCAATATAATATCAAAGCTGATATTATCCCGAGAGGTACCGCTATGATGGAGGGTAAGTTCCTCCTATCTCTCCAAAGCGATCACGACATCTGCTTCTTTTTCTTTTTAATCCAACAGCTGACTGTATGACCTGTTGTGTAAGTTGCTGTCATATTACCTCTTGATAATAATTATATGTGGCATTTTGGTTACAGATTTAGCCCAAGCTCAGAAGAAACGATTCCTCATTCACGAATATATTAAGTAAATATAAAAAAAGTCATAATGATGTTGATTTAGGGAAATGAAAGTCTACGAATATTTAATCTTAGTGGAGTAGTTGATTGCCTTCTATCCTCTAACGAAACTCAACCTTTCGTTGTTGACATGCACCCACCGATGCAGGTGTCAAAGTATACTACAACTCCTGGCATGTTTTGTTTTTTTTGCAACATCTATCGGTCGGTGCCATTAATGATAAGTAAACAATTTTTTTTCTAAATATTTCAATATAATAAAAATCTAACGTAGTAAAATAATTCAATATAGTATAGTAATTTAATAAATTATAACACAATGATAATGAAATATATCATATAATAATTAATATTATCATCATATATAATATATAAAATAAAAATTATAATTATATTTTTTATAATTTATAATTATATTTATGGTATGAGCCAGGAGTTTAAGCATTCGTCAATATCTGTTAAAATATACCAAAGTATTTATGTTTTTATTCAAGTATAGCTCCTTAAGGATGGTATTCTTGGCTAGGCTGACTCCAATGAATTTTTTTTCAACAACCACAAAAATTGTGATAACATCAGGACGACTCCATCGATTCACATGATGATTAATAAGGACGTAGTCTACATCTCACATGCTACATGCTGTACGAAATACTACAAATTCGACCACCGTACAATAAATTAGAACCATAGATATAAGATAATGATTTTGGAGAATTCCTTCGAATTTCTAGATTAAAAAAGAATGAAATCCAAAAGTTATTGAAGCGGAATATAATAGCAATAATTCGCCTTTTTAATAGTTATGCTAATTTTGGAGTTGAAGGAAAATCCTGAGAAGTTATTAGTGGTTAACGACCGAAAATAAAAAAAATCCAAGAAAATCAAATACTAAAATTTAGAATTTTTTTATTTCCATTAAAAATTGGTTTAAAAAATACTAAAACGAATCTAACTTGCTTTTTTCACAATAAAAATTTACTAACCCTACACTTTAGTGGAACAGTTCGGTTTAATTTAAGATTCATATAATGGCATAATCAAAATTTTTATTATTCTGAACAAAAAAAAAAAAAAGAAATCGATTAGTAACCTGAAAATCCGGACAAAGCATATGTAAAGATAAATAACATACAGTTTGTTTGAAATTATATAAAACATTTTGTTTCTAGGCTCCTTGGGCCCATCGGAACGAACGCTGGAACATGTATCTATCATTTTTTTTTCGATATAGAATCACAGAGAAAAAAAATGGTTAAAATCGGTTACCCACTGACTGTGAGGTTCTCTCGTAATAGTCCGTATTACAAACCCCTTTTCATCAAATTATCAATATTAAACTAAAACTTTATGAATGCCTTCATCACATCGT